GAGGGCAAACGCCTAGGCGAGATTGTGATGTCACAGATAAGGCCACAAAACACTTCACTAAAAACTAATGATAGAGAAACACGATCAATGTAAAACCCGTGTTGAATTTAGGCGCTTCACAACTGTATACAGTTCTTGACACCTGTCGTTTTGTCGTAAAAATTTAATATCCGGTCATAAGTTGCATTTGATGATGTTTCAAAATAGAATTAAAGGAGAGCGTTGTAGCTAAGATGAATGTCTTAATTAAAGCAAGGTATAGCGTAAGCGTATCTTTTACACAAGATAGCCATTTATATGTATATCATAGAAAATTACAAATCGGAATTAGATGAAAAGAAAGTAAGAATTGATATCAGGAGCGTCTTCAAAGTAATTATGTCGTTCTTAAAGTATCAACTGCTTCGAGAGAGTTAGTTTCAGGATTTTTGATCGGTGTAAAATATCGTCATATTAAGATCACAGTGGTCGTTTACCACGGAGTAGAATACTAGAATAACGAGATAGGGATCATCAACAGATAAACTATTTCAAGGTGTTAAGATTGGGAACGTCGACGCTGATCAATCCAAATAGAGGTCAATTCCTTCGAATTAGGTATCCTGATGTAAAGATCAGATGCTTCGACAGAGTAAGAAATCCTACTTCTACAATAACACGCTTGGATAGAGTAAGTTTCAAATAGAATAATGACAAAAATCCCGACATTATGTTAAATGTGGTATAGGTCTAATTCCGGACATTTCAAGCACAGTAAAGGTCATTAATATGACATTGACCACACCATGATGCTTAAGGTGTATATAAAAACTTCCTAATTGTAAGCTGTGATTTATCTGATACTATGAATTCCAAAGAACTTATAAGAAGAGGGTATTCTCTTAGCTATGTATATAGTTCCTGTTATACATGTAAAAGTATTTGATTATCTCAGGACACGAACATACATAGACATATACAGGAGTTTAGAACGTAAATGCCTTGTTAAAAAAACGAGAACTTAATACCCTGATCTGTTACAGAGCCTACAAGCATGTTTAACCCCGCCACATTATAAATGTGTCTATCTTAATTTAGGAGCCGGAAATTCAGAGGTTGTTGTCTGTCTTATTGGTTTTTCCTTTATTCTTATTGGTCATAAATCAGGCATTTGGATTTTTCGTTTAAATTGTTTCACATTTTGTCATGTTGGAACTTTTAAAGCTGCCTATAATTTATGCATTTTGATCATTTTTAATGCTGCACGGTGACTTATTATAGCTGGTTAAATCTACGTCATTTGGACTTTTATGGATAATTGTCTACCCACCCGGCACGCAACGTCATTTCAACGTTGAAATGTGGTTGATATTTCGTCATGACGTTGCTTCAACGTTGTTTCAACGTTGTAACAGCAACGTCGAAGTTATGTTGCAGAAAGTAAGTTGATTCAACGTTGAATTTTAGTTGAATTTTCGATGTTGAAGTTAGGTTGAAATAAATATGTTGTTTCAACGTTAAATGTTGGTTGACATGTCGACGATGGAGGTTCGTCCAGAAAAAAAGATTCTGGTGTTCGAGATGGGTGGCATTGTTATAATAGATCTTGGTATTCAAGATGGGTGGCATTTTTACAATAGATCCTGGTGCTCGAAATAGGTGGCATTTTAACAGTAGATCCTGGTGCTCGAGATGGGTGGCATTGTTACACTAGATCCTGGTGCTCGATATGGGTGGCATTGTTACAATAGATCCTGGTGCTCGAGATGGGTGGCATTGTTACAATAGATCCTGGTGCTTGAGATGGGTGGCATTTTAACAATAGATCCTTGTGCTCGAGATGGGTGGCATTGTTTCAATAGATCCTGGTGCTCGAAATGGGTGGCATTGTTACAATAGATCCTGGTGCTCGAGATGGGTGGCATTTGTACAATAGATCCTGGTGCTCGAGATAGGTGGCATTTTAACAATAGATCCTCTGCTTGAGATGGGTGACCTTGTTACAATAGATCCTGGTGCTCGAGATGGGTGGCATTGTTACAATAGATCCTGGTGCTTGAGATGGGTGGCATTGTTACAATAGATCGTGGTGGCCGAAATAGGTGGCATTTGAACATAGATCGTTGTGCTCGAGATAGGCGGCATTGCTACATTGTACATGTACAGGAGCGAAAAAAATGGTAAAAACGGATCCGCTATTATATAAACCAGTAAATTATTTTTAAAAAACCTGGCCTATATAACATTTTATTCCCTGCCTTTGACGTTCTACGTGATTGCTAAGTCCTGTTTACAAAATATTATTTGTGTTTGTTATTTCAGGAAGAGTAATGGAGGCCTACACAAAGATAACAGAAGCTGAATTAAAGAAGGATTGTGCACCAGAAATGGTTGTAGGAGTTTAGAGACTACAATTCATTTTCACGAAAATAATAAAAATTGATTAAGAGATTATTTGTATTTATTTACCAGATCACCTTTTGGCTATATTTAATTTAGCTTTTGTCATGACTTGACATCTGTTGTACTGTTTTTTTTCAAATCTTGCTGATGTCCTCTGTAGAGTCATGTGGCTTCAATATCTTGTGTGGTTACTAACTATTATAGATATAAGAAGATGTGGTATGATTTCCAATGAGACAAATATCCACCAGAGTCCAATTGACGTGGAGATCACTAAACGGACTTCAACAATAAGCACACACCACACCGTATAGACCGCAATAGAAGACCCGGACACAATACACCCTTCAATAATCAATTCAAACGAGAAAAACCAACCGCCTAAATTTGTAACGACAAACACATGTGACAGATGAACCAACAACAAGCAACGCATTGCTTATTTCAACATGAAAGAATCTTGTTGCAATATTAGGGTGACGTTGTTTCAATGTTAAGTTTAAACCTATATTCAATCAAAAATCAACGTTGATACAATTTTGAAAATATAACGTTGTTTCAACGTCAGATATTCAACGTTGTGTCAACTTTCAAAACCAACCGTTATTTCAACGTCTTTTCAACGTTACAGATCAACGTTGATTCAACGTTGTTTCAACGTTGAAATGCCTGCTGGGTAATCATTGGAAATCATACCACATTTTCTTTTTTTTTTATATTCATTCAAAATTTAAAGCTGTCAGTTTTTTGCGGATGTTATAGGGTTATTGTGTTAATATTGAGGAATGTTGTCTCGAGCAGTACATCATATTACACGAGCTTCTAACAATTTGGCAAAGTATGAAATAATTGTATCGTTTTTAATTTAGACCCCTCTCCATTTTCTACCTTAAACAACAACGGGGCACGTCAAGATATATGATAGTTTACTGGCTATGATATTACGTTTGAATTGAGCACATAATTCGGTTAAACTGCATAACAATTTCAATAAAGAAACTGGCTGAAAGTGAAATAATGAAGTAGCACACTTCAGAGAAGTTATACCAAGAATAAGTACGTCTTAATAGTTATGTGATTCGATCATTCACCTCAAGCACGGAGATTTTGAATGTATAACCACATCCAGTCAGCACGAGAGAAAAACTCGCTGCATTGTTGGCTGTAAATTTTTCACCAGATTTCCAAAGGAAAATATCGGTTATTAATTTGATGATGTAAGGCTAGCGGCTGCCAAACAGTGTCCGTGCAATAACTTGATAACGCTGTGACGAAATATTTTCAAATTTCAATTTTCACGATTTTAGCTTTTATTGTTTTTAAGTTGTAGAACTTTAAGTAGCGAAAGTTATACTAAGAGCGTTTTCCGTTGCATATACTTGAAAACGCTTTAACGAAATATTTTAAAAATTATATATATTGTTTCCTGTGACTAAAGAAGGTAAATTTCGAATTTCAGGATCATTCTACCATGCATATATTACAAGACAAAGACCGGTTGAAAGTGTGTTTCTGGGAAGTTATTGGAGTGACCAGAAGATTCTATGATTTTATATTAAATAAGGTTATAATCCCATAAAAATATTTCCTTTGTTATTGACTCCATGATTTCTGCCTACCGACCCCTGCTGAAAAAAAGTGTATGTACTTATATACATTCTTAAATTCCTATATTATGTCACTTATGATAAATGGGAGGTCAAGATTGATTCTGGCCTTTTTATTTCTGAACCCTACAAAAATTTATTTATTTTTTGACTTGATCCTGTTTGGGGGTCTAGATTTGCAAATATCGCTTTAATGCAGAAAATCCGGTAAGTTGTCAATCTGACAGCTTCTTGTTAATGTATGTGTTGATTTGCCGTTGTGCTGAAAGCCAATCAGCACCGCGTGCACATTGCTTCAACGTCAACTTCTACATATGTTTTAAAGTCATTAACTTCTCAACTTTACAAATGCATCGGGTTTGCAAATCTGAACAGACACAAGTTAAAGTCATATCCACGAACAAGGCATTCGTTTACTAAAAATTTAACCAATAGTCGAACTGGTTGCATATGGTCTATAGATCATTTTTTTTTTAAAAGTTATGATTTTTAGTATACCAAATAAGATTATCCTGCCATTATAGTATTTTACATTTAGAAAAAAAAACTCATCAAAGACACCAGACTATTAGAGGCACTTGCTATACGATTTTTGATTCATCGAATTGATTTTGGAATGTTTTCCATAAGTTAAAGAACCTTGTATATTTAATCTCGTCAACGCGGCAAATTCTCAAGCGATTAAAAGAACAGCAAAACATTGACAAATGAAACATAATATTTCATTTGTTAATGTTTTTCTTGTAATTTACTGGTGTATGCATAAGATACTTTTTCTTTAGGTTACAGTTGCAATTAAAACAACATCACGAATTCTTGTTACGTTGTACTTTTATTAATGGCTGTATGTAAATATATTACAACCTAATGGAAAGGTAAAACATGGGAAACACAATGTAATCACTTACAAATATCGCGAGATTTTGTGTTATTTTTCTGATCTTGATTGTATAAATCTAACGTTAGACTGTATTGAACAAGTCAAAATCACTTTCTCAAATCTGTGTAATCAGATGGTCGTATTTTAGGAGTGGGAACGAACATCAACATTGTATTCGCCAATCAGTAGCCACAGTAATTTGTTTGATGAAGATTTATTTTTGTTGGTTAGTATCAATGAGATGATATCGGAGGCAGGTTTATATATTACAATGAGCAATATTATACCTGATGAGATCGAAGACAGAAATCGATGTGTTTATTGTCCATTAAGTATCAATATTGCACTTAATTGAAATAATAGGTAGTTCTGGTGTGTATACGGTAAACGACTTGCAGATTACTAATTTTACAGTTAACTTAATTTTTGACGAATTACTTATTATAAAATTGGAGGAAGCTCGTTCTTAAGTTCTTTATTTAATACATTACTTAATTATCAAACAATTAAATTAATGGAGAAGTAGTTAGAGGAAGACGTCATACAGTTTGTCTAATATTCAATTTATAGACAAAGTAAGTAACAACAAAGTGGACTTGGGAGATCCTAAATAAACATACACATAGTTTGTCGTTGTTTGTGAAGGGCTATGAACAATACCAGTAACACAAACGCTAACATGACGAATACAAGTTTGGATATTCCAGCATACTTGACTATACATTTAGGAGACAGGTACGTTAGTACCGTACAGTTAATAGTCCTGAATGTTATATATATTGGAATATTTTTATCCGGATCTATTGGAAATATATGTACATGCATTGTGATAGCACGAAATCGGAACATGCATACAGCAACAAATTACTACTTAGTGAGCTTGGCCATTGCTGATCTATTGACATTGGCGATAGGTAAGTCGTATTTTCCATTTACATGTTTGTTTTTGAAGAAGACAAATCCCGTCGTCTTTTTAGAAGAGTTACATTTCAACATGTATGTCAATTTTTTTAAGGACAATGTAATTTACAACAGAACACAATATCAGTCATTAAACTACATTATCTACAGAGTTGAATTATCCCCTTGAGGAATTTTGCACAATTCCACCGTCCGGCACAATTTACAATAAATGCATGCCAGATAAATTGTTTCCTGTCATTATTGAAATTTGTATGCCTACTGCACTACTAAAATATCAAACGATGAAAAAAGACATTTTTAAAAATTAAATTGAACTAGTATTACAATACGAAGATGTTGTAGGATTGTCAACGAGACTACTCTCCACCAGAGACCAAATGACGTAGAATTAAACAACTTATAAGTCACCGTACGGCCTTCAGCCATTAGCAATACCCATACCGCGAAGCAAACTATAAAAGGCACCGAAAGAACAAATGTAAAACAATTCAAACGGGAAAATTAACGACCTGATTTATGTACAAAATAATAAACGAAAACCAAATATGATATACAACAACAAACGGCAACTATTGAATTCTCACTTCCAGAGGTATCTTGGGACCAATAATATAAAAGTACAAACACCGAAAAGATACTCTTAAAAGAATCATACAAGTATCATACGTTGGCACAATACTTGCTTCCTGAAATCAAATGTAGTTTATATAGAATATTTCCTAGTTGAAGTCGCTAATTTTATTCCATGTGCTTTAGTTTTTTCCTGCAACCTACAATGTAAAGTAATTGTGTTTGAAAGTATTTGCAACTTTGACTATGGTAGTAGCAAGAGCAGCGTCACTGGTAATATAAACAAACGAGAAATGTAGTGGGACATCGTTCTCTTAGAAGTCTCCAATGACATGTATTTATTGTTTTGTTTCTCATTTCAATCTAATTTATAAGCATTGATACAGGTTGGTCTTTTTTCTTAAATCTGCTCAAGGTTTTCAAATAAAATCAGTATTGTGGCTTTCTGATACAATCTGTCCAATTCTGAAACTTTATCGTCAACGGTGTAGTCAGTTATGATAGGGTGTAATTGGGGTTATATAAATTGGCGATGTCGCAGATACATTCAACTTTTACATTAAACTTAAAATGTTGAACCTTAATTTTCTCTTGACAATAGAGGAAATATGTGTGAAATATACATACATTCGACACTCTTAATATAAATATGTGAAGATGTGGTATGATTGTCAAAGAGACAACTATCCACCAGAGTTATTTATTTTTGTGAAATTTCCGCACATAAGGACATAATTATGATGTAAAAAAAATAGGTTTATATTCGGTGTTTTATAACGTAGAGTACCGTGTAAGTGATAGATAGTTGTGGTTTGATTATTCTTAATAATATCTTCAGTTAAAAGGAATGATTTGATATTAGGTCTGGAACTTCATTGTATTACGTGGTACCGTGTAAGCAATTTGCTGATCAAGTGGGCTGTCACTTACTTCATATTTAACGAAACTTTGAATTTTATTACACCAGCTGAGCAAGGATTTTACCTCAATGTTTAAAAAAGTTTGGTGTTTACTTTATACCGCATCGCGTACAACTCCTTGTTTCTATTTATCTTACAAGGATAATATAGTGTATAGAAAAAAATGTCCAGCCTTCCGTGCACTTTTTTTTTATATCTCTCAGGTATATATCCATTCCCAGATGTATGTAGCGGTTATCGATTAATATGACAGGAGACCGTTCCAGTCAATGCAGCAAGCTTCTTGTTTATGTTAAGACGTTGGCTCTTTATTTCGTGGTGCAAAACCGTAATGCAAACCTTTACACGAAGAACAACTGTAAAAACTTTGTTATTTTATGTGTTGATTATTTCCAAATAAATTATGAGATTTAGTTTAAAAGAAGTTCTTTCTTTTCAAAATTATAAATTTAATGATCTTTTTTTTTGTTGTTTATTAAAAAACAAAGATAATTATTACTTACAAAATGCTTGAAAATATTGAGCAAACGACTAGGCTATCGATTTATTAATTTGATTTTGGCGGGACTCTCACATTCTCTTTCAAAGACCCGCGTTTTGCTAAGTAGTCACTAAGACATTTATACGGGATAAACCTTTGGTCCCTTATGGTCAAGTGGCTCCTCTAGTATGTAAGTATTCAAGCAACCTTGACTGCAATTGTTTATGATTTGAAGGTTCCTTGTGCAAGTAAATCCAGAAAAACGCTTTGTCAATACCACAATTAAAGTGTTTTAGGAATCAGACCACCAATTCACCCACTCCCCTTCCCAGACAAAACAATAGTGCTTTTGGTGTCATTGTTTACTTAAACTAACCAACAAATTTGGAGAAATGAAACTTTTGGTGACAGAGAAATATACTTTGACCATTTTGAGCCCAAATTTACTTGTTCATAAGTTTGCATGAAAAATTGAGGATTAATGCCCTCTATATTATACTAGAAACCAGGGGTTATTTTTAGTAGCAGTTGCCTTCCGAGAGGTAGTGTTTTACTAGAAGACTTTAAACATTAGTTGAAAATTGGCACGTAGAAAGGAGATATATTTATAATTCAGGAAATACCTGGTTTCAATGAAGTTAAACTTAAGGTAAAATATTTAGAAGACTGTGAAAATTGAAAAAATAGTTGAATAGATTGGGATTTTGAATTAGTGGTCTGACACCTATATATCTATCATGAAATCTTTTAGAAATCTTGAACTTAACGAATAGGATAAAGTTCCTAGACTGGTACTGCTATATATAACAATTAACTTTTAGGTCACATTTTTCAAGGAAAAGTTCGTTAACACATTTACATTCACTTTATACATGAAAAACAGTTTTACTACATAATTATGTCATGATGACTTAATGTAACTTGCCATGCCCACCGTGTAATGAAATGTAATTTGTGATCAGAACAAGAAACAAGTGTGTTGTCTATAACTTTACATTGTCAAAACCTAACCAAACACATATCGTATATAGTTTGTATGTTATTGATTCTGGGTGTAATTAACTACTCAAATAAAAATAACATATTAATTACAAATCAAATATCATATTGCATTCTTCATTAAAGGACAGTATTTAGATTACATTTTATTTTGTGTTGCTCTGTTTTAATAATCATAATCATAATTGTTATTGTTTTCACTTTTTTCTCATTAGTTGTTTTAGCTGGTAGGGATATTTTCTTTTTTATGTGTGTGTGTGTGTGTGTGGGTTTTTTTTATGGAAAGGGAAGGAGAGGGTTAAGCAACTCTCATTATAAGTTTTAAGTTTTTTTGCCTGAGTTAAGTCAGTCAGTTTTCTCAATTTATAATTTGGTGTTGATGCCGGGTATTTTATCTTCTATGTAGAATTTATGCAAAACTAACATTTGTTCATTGTGTATTCTATAGGCATGGACGCTTGTCCATTGCTGAGGAGTGTATATGGACCTGTGGATAAAATTAAGTTGAATATCGGATAAATCATCAGTAAACTAGATGGGCTAGTTTCTATTTGACTAAAAATGTTTTAATCATATAGAAGAGAAAAAGACGAGACAAACCGTAGATAATACGTGTGTGCTTTTGATTTGTTCTATTCGTGTAGAATTCTGTCTTATTTCATTTTTATGACAGTTGTTTTTTTGGTTAAAGGGAAAATTCGCGATTTTTTACTTATCATCTTATTATGTTCATAATATCATTAAAAACATATTCACCAAGTTTTATCTGGATATGAAAACTAATAAAGAAGAAAATTGGGAATTATTAATTCTATTTATTCAAACTTCCTGACTTATGTGACGTAGTTTAAGTCTTTTTGCATGCCGGGAGTGGATTAATCTCATTTAAAGTCTTTTTCGTTAATCATCTAATAACGCGATTTAAAGCGCATCAACGACTTTTGGTGTAGCTATTAACCAACTAACAATTGAGAAAGAAAAGTGATCAGCCGTGCATTTTTTTAAATTAAAATTTACGATTTATATTTTAAGGATTTCTGATATGATTATAGTAATAAAAGCAAATCATACAATAGAATTTTTTTATGATTTTTTTTCGACTGATATTTTGAACAACATATATAACTGATAGTATAATAGAAATTCACGTTTGTATTCCCCCCTATTACTTCAGTCGAGGATTTGTCTTACTATACATATCCTTGCTTCAGTCTAGTACTGTGTAAATACAATGCATGTGTATTATGCTGACACCACCTGGTAAAGGCGTGATTAAATTCACGGTAATTAAAAGATTAGCATTATGTAATTTTAATCCTTTGATCTTCACTAGAGTGGTGTTTGTCCTCAAGGGTTCACCGTTGCAGGTATGAGACAGATTTTTTTTAATTATTAAGGGAGGAATATGGTGGCAAAATACCTTAATCGCCGTTATATATATATTTTTTTAACATTTTGCATTTGCTCAGTTTTTAAATAAAAAGGTGAGTATTTTGTTGTAACATCGAAATTCTGAATCACTTTTAATAAAATAATTATATAAATATTATAAATGGCCCACGAAAACGAGCGTATAAATCAAAACAGTACTATTTTAAATTATCATCGGTAACCTTGAATATTTAAATGTGCAGAGAAAATTATCAGTTACAAAAATATAGTTTTGTCGTCCAAAGCGATCTTCATTTACCTTATCAGAAATGCCCTTATTAAAATATTATAAATCTCACAACGTATTTATATAATTCTTAAGCTATTTGACCAACGATGTTAAAAAAAAATTAACAGAATCAATCTAAGTTAAACGTCAACTTTCCTTTTTTAAATGGTGACAGAACGGCGAAATCAATTTTCAATGTGCTTGATATCTTGTACCTTTGTAAAACTTATCATTCATTCATGAACCCACTCTAAACCAGAGACATATATACGTCTGTTTAAACTGACAAGAAAACTCCTAAAGCGGACAAGCAGTATATTCTGTAAATTTCTGAGATTTAATACAAAGAAATAAAAAAAATCCCGAAATGAAATTTGATCCTGGAAAATATTCACATCCTCATTCGGTCTGAAAAAAAGATACGAATTTGGTATACAGAACATGCAGAAGTGTGAATGTTATAAAACCTGATTGTTATATCAGAAACCATTATAAATATGAACATGTATACGTAAGACGTCATAGGACGTCACCTAACCACATTCAGGTAATATACAAGTAGCTCTGTTATACCCGGAAATGTCAAGGTTAATCATAGATAGATAGACCTCAGACCACCACCCCCCCCCCCCAAATCGAGGAACAGTATATCTTACAATGTGTATATTCCTGCAAAAATAAAAATAAAATGAGAAAAAAGAAAGAGATGAACGGTAAGTCACATCAGATTCAGATATTTATATAGTTGCTTGTCGTTAAATAGAGATCTAGTGTATACATGTCTCTGCGTTAACTTATAAAAATAACAGGAAATAATAAACTTGAAATAGATTTATGATGAATACTTTGAAACTGCGACACCCCTTTTTATCACAGCGTACATGCATGCATTTTAAATGTAAATTGGGGAAAATGTAAGTATATACTCGTTGGCAATAATTATGGACATTTTGAAACATACAAATATTGATTAAACAAAATGTGCGGCACTTGTCGATCATTGGTTTATACGCCTAGATGGAAGGTTTAATACGGAACTATGAATAGTCGCAATATAACTGTCCGTTATGCGATTTAGAATGACAATCGTACGTACAATCCTATAGTTCATGGTGAGTCATTTTCTATCAGATATGCGACTTTTCGTATTTATATTTTCTCTTATATTACCGCAAGGACGTATATTAGAAGGATAGGAAAGTCCCTATACCGCCTTGATAGCATCCGAGAAATACCGCGTGCTACGAGAAATCACGAGATCTTGCAGAAAGCTTCAGCGGGAAGTGCCGCTTCGAGATTTCTACATCAATTTGTAAGTATAAAAATATTATATGAATAATTAAAAACTGATTAAGTAGAAGTTATTTTATGGTATTTAATGATATTTTCCTACGAAAACATCATAAGACATTTATAAACATCATAATAAGTGATCAACAGTTTGGATGCCAGATGCTGTCCATGATGCTGGGTCCAAGTTGCATGACCCTGTCATGTTGCATTGAAATCATTAAATTTTATTGCATTTACTTCTACAAAAGTATTTGATTACAAGTTTTAGATACCATTTACGTTTGCATATGAAAACAGAGTGTCTTTTGTTGTGTATTTCACGTGTAATATAACATATAAAACAGCCCTTTTCGGTAAACAAAATGGCGACTTACATGGAGAATGGCCTTGTATTTTTGCAGCTAAATTTTCGTTTTTGGTGTAAAAGACGCTCTAAATTAAACGAGTTATTTTCCTTTTATATTTTTACGTTTGCATAGCAAGTTCCAACTTCTTTTGTTGAGAGGTTAGTCAAATATTGAAGTTATTTCTCCCCCTCCATTTTTTTGGTCAAAATGTTTACCAATCAGAGCAGAGATGCTATTTTGCAGCTATATTGTTGAATATATGCTACACAATCACATATTGCATTATTTTTTTCCATTTCTTAGACATTTTTACACTTGCATATAAAATTTAAGCTTCCTATGTTGAGAATTTGACTAGATATTGAGCTTCAAAATGAACTAATTTTTAACAGCTCTATTTTGTTTCATTATATCTATCTATCAGAGCAGAGCTGCTAGTTTGCAGGTATATGGTTTTCTGATGGCAGCACTCCAAATTACATTTCAAGGAACTATAAGCATTGCAACATGTCACGAGATGAGCTCATTGGTAAAATTTCACAGCAGAGAAATGTCATCACCAGTTTGCAAAACCAGATTGCCCAAACTCAAAGACAGTTTCAACGGGATTTATCAGGAAGTGGTGTGACTCTAAGTGCATGTCAGTCCATTGAGATGAGAGATGCTATGGCTTTATGTTCAACCGAAATGGAGAAAGCCTTCCCAGATTCCAATTGCTTTCAAAGACTTTTTTGGAGTGAACAATTTAAAAGTGTTAACGTGAAATCAGCTAAAGGAATGAGATGGCATCCCATGATAATTAGATGGTGCTTGTATCTTCGACAGAAGTCCAGTGCTGCATATGATGCTTTGAGAGACTCTGGGTTTATCACTTTACCAAGTGCCAGGACTTTGTTTGATTACTCTCACTACACTAAATGTGGTAAGTCAGTTACGCATATATTTATTAGACATGTACAGATATGTTGGGGGTTCTGCCTCTACAATGTATAGGGTCAATCGAACAGATAATAAATGGAACAAAAAGTCAAATTAAGAATTTAGTCCTAAAATATATATATAAAAAAATAGCTATAGATAATAATGCATCCCCTTAAAAATGAAAAGAAATGGTTATTATATACATGTATCATGATTATGATAATGAGTTATAAATTGCTTTATTGAATACATGTATACAAGCCATTACAGGTAACGTTATGGCCTTCATCAATGAGAAAAACCCAAACAATATAGTCATGATACATGTACATGTAGTTGGCTTGAAATTAAAGGCCCAAATATTAAGACTGAAGAAAGTTAACAGCCTACATTTTGTTTTTGTACTTTATCATTCTTTTAACCAAAGATATAAGACAGGAACACGTATGACCAAAGACAACAATTGAACTAGAATGTAGTCTCCTAACGTGTGACAGGCACATGCACAATGTGATGGGGTTAAACATGTTTGTGAGCCCCCTAAACAGCACAAAATACATTATAGTCATTATAGGTCATTCAATGTCAAAATGTTTATACATTTGAATTTCAGTTAACACATACATGTACATTTTTGTACAAGTTCCAAGACTTCATTTAAAAGACACCCTTATAATTAGGCTAGGTTAAATTGTATGTATTTTTGTTGGGTTATTTTTATTTGAGCAAAACCTGATTGAATTTAATTGCAATTTCACCTACAGAAATAAATCAATTCACTTATTTTTGACATTATATATATATCTTGATTATCCTATAGCGTTTTTATGAATGCCGTTAGAAATGAAATTAAATACTGGTGAGTTGTGGCGCATTGTATGAACATTTGTCTGTTGTTGAAGGATTTGTATTGTTTTTTTTGTCAATCTATTTGTTAGGTTGCTGTCTTGTTCTGATATTTACCATTTTTACCTCTCTTGCAGTCTGTGCCAAAAACTTCAACATCTACTAGTCTGGAAACTAAGTATCAAAACTTGTCAATTTATGACTATACAAAATTTTGAAAAATTTCACTAGTCCAAATCAATATTTACCAGTCTGGGGCATCGACTAGTGGCTAACGGTGCAGACTGCTCTTGATACGTTAAAATGTAGGTCACATGTACTTTTCCTTTTATTACTAAAGACTGTTTATAATGTAGGTTTACTGAAAGATTTTTTCTTCTTCAGGTAATGGTTATCAACCAGATGTTTTAAATATATTGAAATCTGAGGCAGAAAAGAAGGGCATGTATAACAATGATGAGCCATGGCGAAAGTACGTTGGAATACTATTTGATGAAATTCAGGTTAAATCAGAATTGGTATATGACAAATACAGTGGTGAATTAATAGGATACTGTAATTTAGACAAAGTTGGTAACCAGATGATGGAACTTGATAAGAGTATTAAAGGAACTGAACACTCAGACATAGCCAAGTACATGCTTGTTGTAATGGTGAGGGGTGTAACTTGCGACCTACGGTTCCCATTGGCCGGTTTTCCGACAACTAGCATAACAGCAGATTTTTTGTACCCCATTATTTGGAAGGCAGTACGCATTCTAGAGACCAGCATTGTTGACCTAAGGGTTTTATTCATTACTTGCGACGGTGCGTCATCAAACAGGAGATTTTTTAAACTTCACGGAGAGGACAATGACTTTGTACACTATGCAGATAACCCGTACTCATCTGACAACAGAGTTATATATTTTATTTCGGACGTACCCCATCTTATTAAAACCACACGCAACTGTTTTTGCAATTCATTCTCTCATAAAAATACTCGAAAAATGTGGAAAGACGGTAAAGACATTTCTTGGCTTCATTTGCTTAATTTATTCGAACAGCATTGCGAACTGTCATTATACAGCCCATGTCCCAAATTAACAAGAAAACATATCGACATGTCAACATTTGGGTGCATGAAGGTGAATTTTGCTGCACAGGTCTTGAGTTCAACTGTAGCTAATGCATTGGAAATGATATATGGAGACAATGTCACAGAGACAGTGAACTTTATAAGGGTTATGAACCGGTTTTTTGACTGTTTGAATGTGCGAAGCCTGTACGAAGGTCATAACAAACGAAATCCGGATTTGAATCCCTACAATTCTTCAAATGATGAAAGACTGAGGTGGTTAAAAGAGGATTTCCTGAATTACTTCAGTGAATGGGAGCAAGCCGTCATGAATCGTGTAGGAAATTTCACTTTGAAAGACCGGAAGGGGATGCTGCTTAGTCATCAGACTATTACTGGACTGAAAATAAGTGTGCATTCGATTGTTGCAAGTGTGAAATTTTTATTAAACAGTGGTGCTAAGTTTGTTCTCACTCACTCTTTTAATCAGGATCCTCTTGAACAGGAGTTTGGACATTACCGTCATAGAGTTGGTGACAACAGTAACCCAACAGTGTATGAGGTTCGACACATGATGAACCAAATGCGTGCAGTAGGAGCAGTTGCTTTAGCTCCGAAGAGAGGGAATATCCACCGAGAGAATGACGAAAACCGTTTTGTAATTGACGATTCAAAGTTACCCAAGAGATAAGCTTTAGTGGTACATTAGTAACAATGTCATGATTGCAATTCTTTTCAAACTTCAAAAAGTTATGAATAGTTTTAATTTAGATTTTAATGTTTCCCCATATTTTACCAGTATTCATGAAGAATTGCTAAAAGTACATGAAAGTTCAAAGTAAATACAATATTCTGGATGTGGATCTTTTAAATTCTTGTTTACTAATATTTCATTATTTATGATATATACATGTATATGAAGTGTGCCAATATAGGAAAACTTTACTTTTGTCCCTAAATATACATGTATGTTCTTATGAATTTATGTGTATATATATATTATTGTTTTCTGTTTAGTATTTAATTAATATTAAGATCCATTTTGTTACATTTTGTGATCAATTTATTTGGCAATCGCCAGTGGCAGTCAGCAGGGTTTAAGAACATCAGTTGTTCGACCTGTTAGTCAAATGCGTTTTGTTAAAATATACTTTTTCACTTTTTTGGTCTTCTGGAAAATGTTGTTTGTGCTGTATTTAGACCCTTCTAAAACGAAATTTGTTTTACATGCACACGTATAAAAATAGCGGTTTTTATCCAAAGCAATCATAGGTTTGAACGTAGTTTTCAATTTAGACTTGTATATATATATATATATATATATATATATATAGATACAATGGACAATTCAAAGTTAGACACTTTAATAAAATAAATCTTATCTTATCTGTATAGTGTACATATTGTATAAAGTTCTACTTCTGGACACAATTTTTATAAAACATGTTTTTCATAGAAATAATTTTTTTATAGTAAAATTGGTTGTAAAAAACAAATTGATTCGTATTAAAATGGAAATATTTATTAAGTCATTTCAACAGCTATTTTTAGGATTATTTTTAGCAGCTAATCAAAATGAAAAAATGTTCACACAAAAAATGTAATTAGTACTAGCGAGGATAATAATAATATGATTTTATTTGTACATATACTTTGGACATATATCTATTAAATATATCTTGATTTACTGATTTTGTGTGTGTAATTTGTGTTGTGTATATATGTAATATATGTTGCGTGTTTGAGATAAATAGATTTAAATCTAAATTGCTTTATTTTGAGTTTCAACTTCTGCCTTTTATGTGACAACAATGACAAGTTTCTAGTATATATTTCTGACACATGTACATGTACATGCAGGACTCTGGAGGATGAATATGAACAATATAAATCCTATTTTTCACAAAACAGTCTTAAACCTGCTACAAGTAAAAACAGGAGATGTGATGTAATTGCCAAGAATACAACTCTTTATTTACCGGACTAAATGATGTAAATGTACACAACTGAATTCGAAGGTTACTGTATAGCTGTCAACAATGAGCAAAACCAATACTGTATATAGGTTACTGTAAAAGACCAAACTTGCCAAACAATTAACAAAATCAAATTTGACCAACTGTTCTCAACAACAACAACTAAAGCATTATCTATACTCATTCTATACAGAATACACAAGTATATTGTTTACCAATGATGAAACACCTTATAGCTCAATTCAACAATTGATAGTCATGGTCTTAGCTGTATATAAAAAAAAACCACATAAATACTTTAATTCTTTTAATATAAATAATCAGGTAGATATGAGCACAAAATCAACAATTCAAGGATACACAGTTTATAGCAGCACTGAAATGTACTTTGAGAAGATTCTTTAAATAACAAGAACATCAATACACTGAAATATAATGATCAGGGCAGACGACTTTAAATAAAAATCCAGAAAATTCCCTGATACATGTAAAAGCACTACAGTCTACAGTTTACAGTTTATTTTTAACTACTGCTAATTAGTTTTTGGTTATGTCTTTCAAGGCCTGTCTCAAACTTGAGGATGACTTTTTGGTAGACTTGGATGATATGCTTGTCTTATTACGCTCAAGTCGGGTAACAGCAAAACCACGTATCCTTAGAAATAAACGGATAATGTCTTCTGTTACAGCTGAAACAATTGAACCCTCTTCATTTGCCATTAGAATGTTACAATAGTATTTGATCATGAAACCTTCCATAATATTTTCCATCAAGGGTTCAGTTAAGAGTGAATTTGCACTTAAGACTGAGCTAGTAGACTTGCGTACAATAAGTTCCATCTCACATACTAGCAGAAACAAAGTGTCACATGGCTTTTGGAGACCACCACGATCTTGTATATTGTACCATTTGCTATATTGGGTAACAAAATTTTGACTGTCTGATGTCATGGTAAAGTTTGAAATTACACCAAGTTTATGTGCACTATACCTAGAAAATCTTTTACGCAGCGAATACACAATATATCCTGCTATATAGAAGAGAATAGACTGATCATTACTACTAAGGTGTGATTGCTCTTTTTCTGAGTTGTCTTTTTGCACCTTGGTCATCTGAGCCATAATTTCACCAATAATGTCTTCAAAAATCAATTGCAAAAATATTGAAAGTACATTCTCTGAACATGTTGGAAAATGGTCTAAAAACTTCTGTCTTAAGGACACATCCGAACGAACCTTATGAAGTTTTCGAAAAATGTTTTCTCTATCATTGCTTTGTGTCAGTTTAGAGTTTGACTCTTCAAAAATGGTGTAAATAACCTGATGTAAACATTCCTTAGCAGAGGTATTGTTTTCTAGTTGATGACATAAATCTTTAATCTCATGTGGATTAACAACAAATGGGTCATTTGCAATATTACATAGTGATGTTGGCAGTGCTGTATAAAAAGTTTTACTAAAAGCATCTTTTGACACCTGTGAAGATTCACAACTAGTAGATGTTGATGATTGTGTTGCTGAAACACCTTTTGTAACACGAAAGTCACTGGCCCGAATTTGTTGACCATGCTGTTTTGAGGTATGCCCTCTAAAGCCTGAGATGGTTTTCAGTGGCTTTTCACATACTGGACATTGATACAAAATGTCTGACACCTTTGCTGTTGGGTTGGCAGTTTTTTTCTTTTTAGGACTAGGCACAGCGAAATCTATACTACTGTCACTATCACTTGGGTCATATTCTGTATATTCCCCTAGCAATAGTTCTAGATCAAGATCAGTGTCCCAAGATAAGAAATCTGACATGTTAATAGAGTTCAAATCGAAAAGTAAATAGCAGATATTGCAACTCGTTCTTTTTATGACATACTCGTGTATATTTCTCAAGATTAATTTTCTCAAATCAGCTTTGGTCATTTTGAAAGTAGACAATGACTCGTTTAGTGTAGTTTGGGTCATAGCTTTTCTAAATTGAATAGTACAAAGGAAACCACACAAGCTCATTAAAAAAACAACTTACAATCGGTTAAAAAGTAGAAAGGATACCGCACAAGCTCATTAAATGAACAACATACAATCAGGACTACTTTATTCTTTATTATAATTAATTATAAATCATCACAGGAATTAGGAATGCAAAGTAAAATGCTCAAACTAAATAAGGGTTAATCAAATCAATCATTGTTTCTAGAAGACATTTACTATTCAATAATAAAAATGTTAAAACGTTGAAATTTATACGATTTTAACGGCCCTGTAAGACATATTTGATAGAAAATATTTTTTTTATATTTGTTTCTTTTGTTTTTGAACATCGAAGATAAGTAACAAAAGTTAAATCAAAACAGAGAATTTCTGTCATGACGATCGAGACTGTTGGAGTTCTAGTTGTTTACATTATCGTAACTAGCCGGAAATATTTATTTGAAGCGCGCATAATTGTAGTAGTGAGTAAATCCAAATCTCACGATTTGCGATATTTTAACGAGATACCGCGAGACACGAATCCTTGTTAGTTATACGTCCTTGATTACCGGTACTGTCATTTAATATCTAATGCATAAGTGCAATATTAAGAGTGGTTAAATCCCCTACAAGCTAACTAAATAAATAAATCAACCCTCTAGCTGACCAGACGTAATACAACTACCATCAGTCTATCCGGAGTGAAGTTTCTTTATTTCTTCAAATAGGCTTTTGGGGATCATTAGTGCACGTCCAGTGGCATATATATATAACATGCATGTCGGACCAGGAAAATGTGATGATGACGAATTTCTTAAACTGTTCGAAATAATCTTATTGAAATATAAATCTGTGATTTTACTATGTCTTTAGCTTCGATGAACCAAAGCAAGTTAGAAATCGACCTGTATTTAAATCAGATTACTTCTGGATGTTTCTCTCGTATATTCAATATACTTGTATGATATTAGTTCTATATTGCGACTATTCATAGTTCCGTATTAAACCTTCCATCTAGGCGTATAAACCAATGATCGACAAGTGCCGCACATTTTGTTTAATCAATATTTGTATGTTTCAAAATGTCCATAATTATTGCCAACGAGTATATACTTACATTTTCCCCAATTTACCCTTGGAAAATGTGTAAATAGATTTTTATTTCATCAAATCTTTTTTTTTTTAATTATTTAAATTTTCTTAAATATCATTCGTTACACCAAAAATGTTATTTATAAACAAGCGTATGAGTTTAGCAATGACTAGTATATCACTATCGGATACGCTATACAAAGTTGTATATTACACCTGATAGATTCAAAATGGAAGTTACATGTTATCGGCCGTGTACACTGATCAATACCCCCAGAAAAGAAGTGATGCACGTAATGTAATTGTGTAATAACAGTTTTAAAGCCCGACAGGAAATCGCTTGAATACCTGTACGTGTCACCTCACAATACCTCTGGGAACAATTCCATTAGCCATTCTGGTGATCAGATAAGGGAAGGTCCGAATTTATTTTAAAAAGTTTATTACATAAAACAATTATGAACAAACTAGATTTTCAAAAACAATTTTACACGGAACACTTATTTATAACTTTGACTTTTTAACTAATTTCAATTTCTTGTTTTAAATACTTCGTAAACAAAACAGTTTCAAAACGACAGACCATACTATTAGTACTAGTTATTTAAAAAATAATATATATAAAATTACATTTTCCGTATCAAGTTAGTTAGGAAAGGTTGCACAATCATGTCTATCATAATCTTTTTTGTGACCCGGGAAACTGTTTATGCTTTCCTTGTCGGATAAAACAACCGTACGCTTGACAAGATATCGACACTCAATGACGGCTACGTTAGGTTACTGCTTGTTTTGGTCCTTTGTGGTTTATAGATATATCGAGGTCAATATTCGGGGAGGATGTCAAAATGGCCGCATGCGGAGAATTGATACTCTAAATTTAAAATCGATGGTGATCTCTTAACTTGCAGAATAAAACTTTAATATCTATGAATTTGTGCTTTTTTATACATAATGAACAGAATATGAATTTTTCATTTTTTTGCGAAGTTTCCCTTTAATATCTCATGTCACCCTTTTACTTAAATCTGAAGATAGACACAGCTACATTTATTATTTGCTGTTTGTTATACTTGTTTTGTTGTAAATTAAGCCGTTGGTTTTTTGTTTGAAAATGTTTTCTGTTTAAATTGTTTTTCATTTTGTCATGTCGGAGCCTTTTGTAATTATAGCTTATTATACAGTATGAGTTATCCCCACTGTTGAAGGCCGTACGGTGACCTTTCTCGTGGATAGTTGTCTCGTCGCCAATCATACCACATGTCCTTTTAATCTCTGAGTAAACGTTTCTAAGAAACGCTCAAAACTTTTGTCTTGTTAATAACCAAAATGAATGTGAATGCTAATTCAGTTTATTATAATGGATATATGCTGGACCAGAGACATATAATACAAGAGATTCGCAACTCTAGTAGAGTCTATATAACAGCCAATGAAATGACGTGGCCACCGGAAAGCCGATTAATCCGATGGATTTATGGGTAATAACCCGTATTGTTGAGTAAAAGGTTCTACGCCTCACAATTTTTCTAATGGATAATGCCGATACCTTTCACAGCTAAAGAATGCAAGTATATTTAAAAGTTACAAAAAACTAATTCTAATAATTTGTTATTGATAAAATGTGTTCTAATGATGAGATTAATCAAATACAAACAAAGTTAAAACTCGGCCCATTTTACTTCACCTATTGCCGTAGAAACCATTTGATCTCCCAATTTTTTTCTTAAAACTTGA